TGTTTTAAATAAAAAAAAACACTTTATTTAAACCTTGAAATGTTCGAACTTGGTTTCAAACTTAAGTAATTTTAGTGTTCTTTTACATTACACAATAATTTAGCAGACTAAAGACGAGCTTCTTCATTTTCATTTTCTGATGCAATCGGCTGACAATCTTCCTTCATCAGTTTGTGTCCTTTGTGCAGCGGCTGCGGTTCTACTGGAATGTAGCAAATTTATGTTGTAATGATAATTAAACAAAACTCTTGACTTTAAATAAGTAAACAGTTATAAACAGTTAGCTATTTAAGCATCAAGAAGGTAAAATATAAACGCTGTTGGCCAACATCGGTTAACAACATGTATGCCACATTGAGATTCGATCTCGGGTCGATTGAAGCTCCCTGAAGCTCGTGTTGATGCGTTGATCACTGAGCCACCGTTTGTACGCTGTTAGAGTTAAAGTCTTATGCTTTTGTAAAGCTTCATTGATGTAGCCTAAATGTTTTTATTGCAATGTTTTATGTTTTCATTATTTATTCAATTTCATTTCAGTATTTCAGCCTAATTTCAGTATTGTGGTAATGAATTATTTTAACTACGTTTCACTTGTTGAATTCATCTGCTACCAGCTTTCAATCGCTCTGAATGAGCAGCAGATTACGCATTAGAGAGAATAAACGAACACTTTTCAGAGTCTATGATTGTAGCGCCTCTTAGCGGTAAAAGGTAGCAAATACACCCCACATTTTACCGCCGCGGTGGAACGGCTGATGTGGGCGTTGTCATGGCTTTCCTCTACATTTGCGTTTGAATAGCGCGCGTTCTCCGTGGGCGTGTCAGATTAACGCGTAATGAAGTGTAATGAGCTGGGGAAAAAAATTCTGACAGCACTCTCTTTTCATACAGATTACATAAACTGAGAATATTTGTTTTTTATATAAATTACTTCATTGAAAAGAAGAGAATTCAAGCTTCATAAAGAAAAATCTCTCGTGCCTGTGTGACAAGTATTTGCAGAGTTAGAGTTAATTTTTCGGACGCGTTTCAGAATGGACTGCACTGACAGAGAGAAGGCAAAACTCGCATCATGTTTATTTTTCTTCATTTGACAAAAAGCACAACACTTTGTTTTTATTGTGAGTATACAGAAAAATAATATACACTAAACAGGATCGACTGATGTATAACACTTACATGTAAGATTAAAATCAACAGAGTATTTTGAGTCTCTTTTGCACTGATAAGAAAAAAAGTCTGCCTATCGCGCCGGCGCGATAGCCGACCCCAGGGGGTTAAACATGTGACTTTTCATGAAAATTCTATAATCCAAGATTGCCACCACCATATGACGTCATAATATGCTAATTAGATGGGAAAATGTAATCCGTACATAAACTTTGGGTCATCCTTAATATTTCTCTAATTTACAGAAAGTCTCTATCTTTTATCACTTTTAAGATATAGCCTTTTGAAATTAAGATGTCAAAATCGAATGTTTTAGGAAAAACCTCTGGCGCCTAAAGGGTTAATGAGATGGCTCACATGGCTGTGCACTTGTAATGACACATTAAGGTTGTTAATAGGGTAAAAGCAGGTTTAAAACTTGCCCCATTTAAATCAACAGGGTGCACATTTTAAAAAGAGGATAACACGGTATAGGAAACACCGATTTTTGTCGTCGTTCTCTGTACTGACAGCACTCCAAATTTACAAAAAAATGAGCTCAATGTTAAAGTTGACCGGAGTTCTCCTTTAAAATGAGACCAAACATCTATAGTTACTTTTTTATACACACATAATATTGCATGGGTTTTCAGTGAGTTCCAGGTGAGGAGGAGAAGAGGGGGAGCAGGAGGGATGTGATGGAAGGTGTGAACTGCGTCTCGGATGTTGCCGTTACATATGCAAGAGGGAGTTCAAATGTTAATTATTTTGCTCTCTCGAGGGGGATGCTCAGATGGACTGGCACCCGGCTTACAAAGCTATTTAAGCAGTGGTATTGTCATGCTTTTCTGTTCACAATTAAGTAACTTGCTTGCACAAAACATGATAGCATTGTAATAAATTCATTTTCAAGCTGAAATATGGACTCATCCGACCACAGCACACATTTCCAATGTCATTTAGAGCACCTGAGATGCGTTTGGGTGCAGAGAACTCTCTGCATCTCGGCATTCAACAGAGGTATATCTTTTTCCTTGCGTAAGAGATTCGAAACGGTTTTCAGTGACAACGGTTTTCCAAAGTATTCCCGAGCCAATGTGTCTATTTGACACAGCAGCATGACGGTTTCTCATGCAATGCCATCTGAGGGGTCAAAGGTCACATACATTCAACAGAGGTTTCCTGCCTTGCCCTTCATGTACTGAGATTTCTCTGGATTCCCTGAATTTTTTCACAGTATCATATATGGTAATTGGTGAAAGACCTAAAATGTGATTTTTTAATTGTTTGACAGAGTCTTTGGTGGATGCTCATTTTATACCCAGTTACGTAATCAGATTACCTTTTTTCAAGTTACTTTTAAATTTTCAAAAAAGTAATCTGATTACGTAACTGGGTATAAAAGGAGCATCCACCAAAGACTGTCAAACAATTAAAAAATCACACTTCTCAATGCAAGATTGTAAAGTATTTAGGTCTTTCACCAAAACTGATCTCGTCTCTTCAGCGCTCCTGAAACACCACATGTAAATACAGTTATCATGAGACACGAAATGGACAATAAGCAACAAGAATTAATTTACATATTGGCAATTTACCATTGCGATTTACCATTAGTGGCAAATGTTTACATTTCATGAACACTGCAATATGCAAATAAGCATGAGCTTGGCTAACTCAAGTTTCGCTCAGAGCTCCAGTACGCGAGTCTGACACAGCGTTCAAGTCATGTTAGAAAGATCATATTTGCGTGTTGAACAGACATGAACGCCACCACAATGGTAAATGGACTGCATTTATATAGCGCTTTCACTGACCCAATGGCCACCAAAGCGCTTTACAATTTGCCTCACATTCACCCATTCACTCTCTCATTCATACACCGACGGGCGACGGCAGCCATGCAAGGCGCCATCCAGCTCGTCGGGAGCAGCTGGGGTTAGGTGTCTTGCTCATGGACACCTCGACACTTGGTCAGGTGGAACCGAGGATTGAACCACCAACCTTCCGGTTTGTAGACAACCCACATGAACCACTGAGCCACTGCCGCCCCAATGTCCTAATTTGATTCACATTTATTTGTATAGGCCTAGCGCTTTTCACAATACACATCGTTTCAAAGCAGCTTCACAGAAAGTGCATGAGTCCACATTACAATTTACAGTGATCTGTTATTATCAGAGAGAACTGTCTAAGTTATGTATTTCAGAAATGTAGTTACCAGGGGCGTCACTAGGCCCTTTTTAGGGGGGCTTCAGCCACCCTAAACTTCTGCCTAGCCCCCCTAAAAATGTGAGATTAATTTAGGCTGCACAAATTCGTGTTCGCTTCAGTCTTGTTATAATCAGATTCAGCGCGTTCTTCATCTTCAATCCGCAGCGGCGCCGAGCAGAGAGCACGTCAGAAACAGAGGACAGGGTGTGTGTGTGTGTTCATGTGTGTGTTCATCTGAGCCTCATTGGTCTGTCACTGCTCGTCAATGTCAGAATATTTGAGATGACCAATCAAATCAAAGTAGGCGGGCTTTATGTTCACAGACGCTGCTGAGCGCGAATTTTAACAGTGCGACTCGACGCGTACGGTCAAGTGCGAGATAAGATGTAAGTAGCTAAACTTAACATTTCATATTTTACTTTTTTTAGGTCATAAATGTTAAACGAATGACAAATAATAATCAGGCAAACTAATATAGTTTTGTCTAATTTCGCCATTTTTAACTGAAAATAGGCCTATGTAACGTGACTCATGTAATGTAATAATTAGTTTACAAGAAACATTAAAACAAAGCCGTTTTCATCATGTTAGGCACAAGATTAATAATGAATGTGTATATATTGAGAATATAATACAAATTGTAGCCTTTAGTAAATTAAAAAAGCTCAGCTTTAGGTGGGGAAGAGAAAGGGATGAAGAGACTGAGAAAAAAAGAAAGAGTGATGGAGATGAGAAGAGAGCAGGTATTGACAAATAATCTACTGCCCACTGACATGGTTTTAAAGCTATTTCTTATCCTTTTTTTGGTCTTCAAACGTCTTGAAATGCACATATCAGAGAAATGAAAAATTTGAACCCCTACCAACCTCAAATTTAGGACCTCTGTGATTATAAAGCCCTGTCTACGGCCCTGTATTAGGCATAAGATCAATATTAAATGTGTAGCCTACATATTGTGAATGCATTTAATAAACTTAATTACCTTTAGTAGCTTTCAGTAAATAAACGCGTCTGAGAAAATGATTAGGCAGTTGACCCTATGTTTACTTTCTTCACTGACAGCCAAAAATGAAAAGCCTTTATCAGTCAAAGCTTTAGGAGGGGAAGAGACAGAGCAAGATAAAAACAAAGAGAAAAAGAGTGTGATGCTGATGAGGAGAAAAAAATAATCAGCTGCCCACTATCCAAGTTTTTTGGCCTTCAGAACATCTTAAAATCCATATATGTAGATCAGAGAAATCAAAATTTTCTCGGGGAGACCCCGAACCCCCCTATTTACCCTACCACACATTTGGGACCACAGTTATTATCAAACCGTGCCTTTGCATCGTAATGAAAATGGTTAATAGTGATCTTTAGATCCTAAACTAAAGTGTTAATTTTTTTTATATTTTTTTTAAAAATCATATTGGGGGCTTAGCCCCCCTAAAATGAAAATCCTAGTGACGCCCCTGGTAGTTACAAGTTACATAATCAGATTACTTTTTTTCAAGTAACGCATTACTTTTATATTTACAACAAAATATCTGAGTTACTTTTTTTTTAAGTATGTTAATATACCCACTGATATGATATTGTAATGATTGTGTTGTTTAACTGGTGTGACGTCTCATGAGTGTGTGTTCAGGATCTCTTAC